CCGGTGGCTTCTCCCCCCCCCCCCCCCCCCCCCCCCCCTTGTTCCCTGTCGCCATGTACGTCGCTGGTCAATGGTAGGTGAGGGCGTGCTGTTGCCGTTTCCTTCGAATCATCGTGTACCCTCATTTATATTCGAAGGCCCTTCCCTCCCCTCTCTGTTGCTGCGTCTGTCGCTGCTGCACCGCGATAGCTGTCAGAGGAAGAGCTGAGAGCCAAGGCTCCATGGCTGTGGGTGGGGGACCGCTGACGAGGATCCCCTATGTCTGGCACATGGCACATGCGCCGGCCGCACACGGGTACTGAAACGCCGTGCAGGACGAGAGGACACACCGCTTCTTACGGCGCAACGAAAGGGATATATAATCCCTTACAGTAGATGCAATTTTGTCTACGCTGCATTAGTTACGTACGACGTCGTATGGATTTATTGTTGAAGGCTTCAATGTTCTTTTTCGTATCTTCTCGTTGTTTTCGGGTGGTGCTCGTTGCGGTCGATGCGCACCTTACGCGAAACGTTTAAAGGCCACATCACGGTGTGCGCGCTACGTCCGTATCAACCTTACGTGAACACTACCATGGGGTCAATGGGTTGATCCATAGCCGAATGTATCCAAGTACACACGATTCTCTGCGCGAGAGTTTTTCTCTCGATCATTTTTTCCGACACTTGATGAACTTCGTGGTCTTTCGTTTCGGCCTCGTCGTTGCCCGTGGTCTCGATTGTTCCGCAAGCTCAGTCTTGCCTCCCCGGCTGGAGAGCTCCGATCGTGGTTCATGCAGGACAAACAAGCCTCTCCAAGGTGCATGAACGAAGTCTGCGAGAAACGTTTTTTTACCGCAAGAGGATCTCTCAACAGTGGCCACGTGGCTCGGTGGAGGAGAAACCGCAAGGTTGCATGGCGTGACATATCACACCCCCTGGTAACGTTTTTCAAAACTCAATGGCTCGACAGAAAAAGCAGCGACGGCGCCGAAAGGCAGCCTAGGAACGGTCTCGTGCAGGGTCTTCCGAAACGTGTCATTTGATTTGGTACCCTCTTCGTCGTCGAGTACTCGGGCTTTGCTTTGACATCGGTCCACGGGGTGTGGTATCTTCCGTCATATCACCTACGGTGCACAGCAGTCGTACAACGGATCCAGCTTCCGGCGGCCTGCCGCCACCGGCGCAGAGTACATTGTATGCTACGTTGCCGACACCACCACTCCTGCCTACGGGTATCTGCTACCTGTCTTGTTCGAAGCTCTGCGGTCACGAATGCACAGCAGCCGTGAAAGCACCGTGACGTACATGCGTTTCGAGGGCGTGTCATCATGTGGATGCCGACGTTGTGTGACGCAACCGCAGTTGGTGGCGTGGTTTCAGCATACTAACTTGCGCCAGCTGGCAGCATGGCGACATGTCGTATATACGTGCGGTCGGTGATTCTGGAAGCTCTCTCGGCTTCTGAGCTCTGTGGAGGCCACCGCTGATCAGCAGCTTTCTGTATACAGATAGCGCCCGCACTTAGGAACTTACCAGTTAAGAAATTGAGACTCGAAAACAATCACAAGCTAAGAATTGAGCACCATTTGTGAGCCCGGTTAAGAACCCCTACACTAAAACCTAAATTGCGGCGATTTGTAGCCCACAAGAGGATGATCAGCAAAATAAGAACCCCGGCCTCGGCCGAAAGTAGAGGTTCTTAACCCTTCTGTGACTACACCCACGAATGACCTCCGTTCTCAGCTCCGATCGCTTTGCGTGCCGAAAGATCGCCGGTGTGCCTCGCTCAAGAGAACAAAATATGACAGGGAGACCAGCAGGGAGACAAAAAGAGGAGGCAGACCACCCCAAAAGCATGCAATATAGCAATGTGCACAGGGGTACACATAGTACTATTGACCATGCTTACTCTCTCTGATGATAGGCACAGATGGATGTCCTTTCCAGATCCAACGTACTGCCTATCTGATGCTGTCTCATCTTTCAATATCCGTGGAACTTTTATTCGCATAGCCCACCCCTTGCCCGACCCTGTCTCAAATGCCGATCTCGAGCTACAGTGTAAATCTCGTGGCGCCTCGAGTATGGTTCGGTGTGGAATCGCAAACCATGAGCCGTCCCCGAGTTTGAGCAGCTTCCGCCTCCTGTGGCCGGCAAGAGTCGACCTTGACTGTTCCTTGCCCTGTTTCGCCATGGGAACGGCCGGTTGAAAGCAACAGCAAAAGAGGGTCCTGCGTGCTGCGAGCCACAATCTTTTTTTATTTATTATTGCGTTCGTTCTTGAGTGACCATTGTACACATGCGGCTGCTGCTGCGGTTGCTGCTGTTATGCTCGGAATGTGCCGCAATGGTCGTACGGTTATCGTAGTCAGGTTTGACAACAGTCTGCTCGTTCGTATGGCGGTAGCGGTGCGCATCTATCGCGACGGCAAGCGCATTGAGATAATAGTTCGTCCGTCGTGCTTCTAGTCTACACAGATAGTCGTGTTCTTCTTTGTTGCCACTTCATACCAGATGAAAAGCAAGAAAGTCTCCACCAACTTACAGGCAGTATCTTCACAGCAGTTCGGAAGTGACGACTAGACTATTTTTATTTTGTCTTGTTTGTTGTTGCTGAGCGCACATCGGATGTCGCCGTTCGTTACACGTGTTCAAGCCTGCGGTGGGCCAGAGGGATGAGAATGGGTGTCTTCTCTAGAGTTCATTCTTTGTCTTCTCGAGTCTCCCTTCCTTTAGTCTACCTCTCTCTCTCTCTCTGTTGCATTTTTGCCGTTAGGGTCCCAATAACATCGAACGTCAACGGCAATCGTTTGCATCTTGCTGAGTAGGAGGCTACCCGTGTACCCGGTTGCTGCATGTGAGGCGATGGGCGCCGCCTCTTTCCGTCAAGCAATGCGCATGGCCCCTAAGGTTCGCCGCACATGCAGTGCTGTGTGACAGCTTCCAGCGGTTCAGAGCGGCGACGATGTTTTCCGCCGGTAGGGCCCCAGAACAACGCGAACCGCGACTGTTTCATTGTTTTGGGGTCCCCCACTCACCCAAACCACCAATGAATTTTGTTTTTTGTATTTCCCTGCCGACCAACAACCTCGGCTCCTGCAGTGCAAATTTCATGGCGCCTCAAGTACTGTTCCGTAGGGAATTGCAAATCACGACCCCTCCCCGACTTTGAGTATAGCTTCAACCTCCTGCGGCGAATAAGACCGACGTCAAACCCTAGATTTTGTCTGTCTGTGTCGCCATGTGGCCATCCACGAACAGCAAGCAGTTGGAGAGTCACAATAAAGAGGGTCCGCTTCGTCACCAAGAAGACAGTTTTTTTTCGATTCTTCTACAGCTGGATATGATGCTACCATGTATCGGGTATTATAGCTGTGGTTGACATTGAGGGATAGGGTCTACGGCAGGATCATATTCTGTGCGAGGAGTTAACGCCTTCCTCGCGTAACGATGCGCACTTCCCACGGCAAGCAGAATAAAGTACGTCATCATGACGCTATTTCTTGTGACTACAAGTTCAAGTTCGCCCGGTCGTTTTTGTTCTTACCGGAGAGAGTAGAGACTAAACTTCTACTACAATACGTACCAGTCCGTGTACCCGGGTACTGCATGTTGTGAGGTAGTGGGTACTGCCCCTGCTGTTTGCTGCGGTACATGGAAAGCTTCCGGTGGGTCAGAGCGGCAAGGGGGCCTTGTTTTTTCACTTGTTTCTTAGCTCTGCCCTCCTCTACCTCTTTGTTTCTTGTCGCTGGTGGTCTCTCTTTTTTTATCGCCCTTCGTTCTTGCCTGCAAGACACTGTGAGGATGTAAACTGGCTGAGTCTGCCTGTTTCTTAGGGTCCCCCGCCCACCCGCGACCCACCTGTCGGTTTGATTCGTGGTCTCCAATATTTTCAGCAGTAGTAAGTTGTCTACTACAGGACATGCGCTACTACTGCTGCGTCCGTCCATGGGTGGGTGCAACAGAAGAGCCCCGGGGACTGGTGGCCTTCTGACCTGATCGCAGAGAGAGGTTCCTGCCACTACCACAATGCGACTCTTATTAAATGTCCATGACGGGGAACGCGTACTAAGTCTCTTCTTTTTTTATTGTTCTTAGTATGACACAACGAATCCTTCTCAATCATAAAAAAGAGTCAGAGACAGATTAGCAATGAATTCATATCGTCGGAAAAAGCTACCTGTATGTCTACGATTTCCCAGACAGGATATAGGGACATCTCCCCTGCGGGTAACAGGCTCAACAAAACAGTTTGGTAGCTGTCTTTTTTCTTTTTTCCCTCTCTCCCGTCCGTTTCTTTCGTTTCGGAGAGGACACCTACTACTGTGAAAAGCGCATCTTCTGGGGTCCGCATTTATTTAGTCCCGGATTCTTTCCCAGCGTGCGGAGAGCGCGTCCTGGTGTGGTCTCCTTTTCATTCGGGTGTGACGTGCGCACTACATGTATGTATGTAAACGACAGACAAAGATCAACGAGATAATTGGCGGCATTCTTGAAAGCATGGAGTCCCTCGGGTCCAAAAATTGCGTGCGCATGGATGGGCGTAGTGAGAAGTGCCGGTCGAAGACCAACGGTTTTTTCGGGTGTGCGCGAGGTCGCCTCTATTACTATTTTGCTTATTTTTCTTTATTGTCCAGGCTACGGCTACTACCTCGCATAGCGTATTGAAGCGAGCGAGGGGTCCTAGACTAATCTGTCGTTGACTTGCGGACCCTTCCTACATATTAAGGTCAATTTCGTTTTCGTGTAACTTTTTTGGGTAAGTTAGCCTGTGACCACGGCGGGGATCGACCGCGTCAAGTGTCAGACTATCTATCATACATAGTAGTACGGACAGAAGAAGAAGGTACTGGGTAGAGAGAGCAGAACGAACGGGATTGTAATTGATTGTGAAGACAGCAACAACAGAACTGCTGGGTTCGTCCACATGGATGGATAGTTTTTGCAGCACCTATGAAGTGTTAAGCGTATAAAACGACTTCTTCATGGCATGGGTGTGTATAATGAGAGGTTTCAATTCAACTACTGAAAAAATACAAAAACTTACTGGAGTATGGAGGGTGCTCCTTGTTCTTATGCATGGCATGTACCGGCAGTAGGTGACATAATATATCGCATCATCGATATTCACAGCCAATAATGTTAGTCCACGACGACGAGGATGTCAAACGATAGGTTTATTTCCGAAAACTATCGGCGCCAACGCCGCCCGGCCACGCCACGCTTTCTGCTGTGGAGCAATCGAGCGTTGAAAATTAAAAAAAAATGTTCAGGGAGTGTGACATCTATGGCATCTACTCTGTGTACAGAACTCTTTGCCGTGCTCGGTGTGCGAGCGTGTCGCGGTGTGCGCCCTCGACTTCATTTACCGCTATAAAACTGGAAAGTTTCAGACAGGCAACGCCACGATACTCGTCGAGTTGCTATCACATTGTAAGATCCAAATGCAAAATACCACGGGGGTACATATGCATAAACACCCTCAACATGTGATCAACCCTGTGCCGCGTGCGCGGTGGAGAGCAGAGAAAACGCGCGCCGGAGCCGATGCTAACGCTGCCTTGGTGCTTGATATTGTTTCCATTGCGGTGCGTGTGGTTCCCCGCTTTGGGAGCGAAACGAGGTGTTGCCTGCTGTGGGCAACTTTTCGATCTCGAGGAGAGTGTTTTCACGACTACACCTCCGATCACAGTACTCTATTTCTAGTACAGATGTACACGCGATTTTAATACATTTTGTGCGATAGTGGATGATGGTCCGATTTGTTAAGTGGGTCGTTACTGATCTGGCGCTTCTGAGAGGCGGTTCCCGTCCGCATCTAGCATCGAGCGCAGCTAGCATGTACGCTTGCCGTGTGGTCTGTTCAGGGATGAGGCATAGAAGATGTGCCAGCAGGTATTCCTTATACAGGTACATCCTCTGTGCGGATGGTTGCTGTCGGAGACAAGCTAACGTGCACATGTAGTTCTCAGACTACACTGCTGTAAAATTTCCTCTCTCCTCATCGTCTCGCGCTGTTTACAAGATTAAAGAGCCCGGCGGTATTTATCCCCGGCCTCTGCTAAAACCAACTTCCATTGCTCCAGATCTTCATACCATGTATCACAGTGGGCACGTTACGTTGTGATTGCGAGAGAGTGAAAACTGGAACGGAGAAGAAAGAGTAAAACTACCATCATCCTTCGACGTGGATGATAGCTTGTTGTTGACCGATGCGACTACCACGCAGATCGATCGTATCAAAACCTTGCGATCAATCAAAACTCCGACCGCGCACAAGATGGGGGCCAAAACCACAAATGTCAAAAACCACAAATGTCCAATCAATCTCCATGACGACACCCAGAATCGAACTGGGGATGAGAGGGTTTGGCAACCCCCGGCCTTGCCACTTGGCTATGCCGCCCTTTTGATATTCTACTCGATTTTCGCTTGCGTGTTACCGTTACTTCCAATACAACGCGCACAACCCGCCATGAAAGATGCACATACACAGCGAAGCTTGCAAAATCGTGAGAGGCGGACTTGGGGTTGCGGATTAGCTGTTGTGCGTATTAGCTCGCAACAAAGAAGAGAACATGAGATAGAGAGAGAGAGACGGAGGAATACCCTGATATATTCGAGAGAAAACGGGGGCTCCGCACATTTATCCAAAGTCTCTCAACGATACCCTCGAGATAATGCCAACTGCGTCTCACGTAACGGCTACTTTCGACTGCCTACTTCCACGCACGAACGTCCTGTCTGCCTCAAAATGATGCCACGTTCACGAAGCAGGCAAACTATTATTTCAAACAAGTCGCCACTTGAGTGATGCTACGGCAGGGGGGTGCACTGTTGGGGTAAAGTCCCAATCGTTACACTCTTCGGAGAAAACGTGGTAGTCTTGTTCGGCGATCATGGGGCGAAATAAGACTCGGCCAACAGGTTGTATCTCACTACCCAAAAGTGTATGATGAGGTGACCCACCTACCGTCGCATCACTCACTGTGTGTATGGTCGCGTTGCCCCGACTGCTGCTGGGTCAAGTCTCTCCACACCTATCCATATCCATCCATCATTGTTGTGCATGTATGCATACCGTGTACGAATTTGTGCGGGCCACGGCACCCGTGTGCGATAGGGTTAGGGTAGCTTCCACATGATGACAGTGATCGACGCGACGACACTCGATCGAACCTGGGGAAGAGGGGACCTCACAAAATGATACTGGTGCGCGCGGGGAGGGGTGTCCGCTTGTTGACGGCGTAGCCACTATGCGTGTGCGTGCCACGCTGTGTGCATGTCACGATGAGTGCGTGGAGGGTAACCACGATGATTATTCCCGTTGAGACAAAATATCGCAGCAGCATGACCAACTTCGACAGTTAAAAGGAAGAGGTATCATTCTTTGATGTGAGTTTGTTTGGAGGCGATCGACCACTGCTGCCGTGAAATGCATATCATTCAAAATCTGTGCATGTATTCTGCCTATTATTGCTGCTGCTGTTGCTTCCACAGACAATTTAGGGCTTTTGTTACCGACCAATAAAACACGAAAAAAAAAAACGGAACCGTGTTTTCGTGAACATATATGGAGACGTTTTTCCCCGAAAACGTGAACAGAAGGAGCCGGGTATTTGGGGGGCTTGCTACTTAAAACGAATCCGTGCTTTTGACAGAAGCATCGGACAAGCGCACCGCGGGCGCTGTAACATCACTGAGAACGCTAGAAAGACCTGTCAGACTCACGTCCAGGTCTGTTGTGGAGATGGACAAGCGGCAGAAACGGCGTTCAGTCCGTTCTTGGCCCCAAGACTAGGCATTGCGTGGTGCTCTCGTCTTCAGCTGCTGCTGTTGGTGCTGTTTCTTTTTTCAATCACACATAGCAAACACGGAAACAGTAGAACGAGTTACAACAGCAACAAGACCTCCAACGCGCTGATTCCGGTTCGGCTGTCTATATGATATCATCTCCCGGCGTCGTGCTGCTTCGTGGGTATTGGGTGCTTGGGTACTGCTCAATAAAGTGTGTGAGAGACGTGTGCCACTTCACCAAAATGCCGTCGGAAACAATGCGGCGAGATGATCTGTTTTTGGTCGGACGCATCAACATCAGTCCACGGCACCACGCAGCAGTAGAGCAACAGGGCCTCCGACACGCTAATTCTTTCGGATTGGCCATCTATATGATGCTGGCCGTCAGCGCGGCTGCCACCCTATGCTTGTTGAGCTCGTCTACCTTTGGGCGGGTGGTGGTCAAAGATGGGAGTCGCAACCGTGAAAAATGAGCTGGCAAACTGAAGAAATCGCAAGGAACACCCAGGTGGCGACACTCTGCCCTGCGCCTGTTGTTGCTGAGAACAAAAACAGCAGGCCAGGTGGACGGGATCTTTCTAAGTGCGTTGTCCTCTGTGTCGGGTGCTGCTCATTGCGCTTTCACCGCTGCTCTATGGTGAGCAATACCATGTCAACCTGTTGTGCGTCGAACAAAACGTGTATTCAGGGAAGGAAACGTACTTTTCGCGATGACATCACGATTAGAACAAGCGAAAAACAATCGGATCTTCTTTTCACCATTCCGTGAAAAAAAGCGCTCTTAGTGTCGTTGCGTTAACAATACCCCTTACATCGATGAAAAAACAGCGTTTTAGGGACAACGGTGACACTCCTTGGTGTGATTTTCAATGCTCCTCTTCGCAGACACGGCCCGCAGTCAAAACGACAAGCTGGGTCTTCTAGACGGAAGATGACCCCCATGGGCCTGGACGATGAGATCCAAGGTATGCACACCGGACTTTTTACCATTATGCGTCCAACGCCCGCGGTGCTCTTGGCAGTCCATTTCTGCAGCTCCGAATACTCGTTAGACTGACCTGGGGTTGGTTTCTTGGGCTGATCACTGTGCAGTCTCAGCAGCGTAAACTGCACTTTGACGACTACCGTGTGGATTTCGAGCTACCAAACTCTTGCTGCATGAAAGATCATGCCGTCCAAACAGTACACCAGCAATATCTCCGGATGCTTTGATGAGAGCGTGTGGGCTTTCGTTTGAAGGGAGCACCATGGAGCTGGAAGGTGGTTCTGTACCATCGCGAGGGGAGAACGTCCGGCCTCAACACGGTAGCTAGATGCGACGGGCGTCGGTAACGCGGACAGGACATGAACGAACACCTCACGTGACCCTTCTTGGTTGGCCAGAGGAAGGACGGCATGCTGCTCCTTATGAGCTGTTGTCGCTGTGGTGCTCTCGGTGTGAGTTGGTGACAGCCCCACGAGGAACGTGCGTGTTGTGACGATGCCTGTCGCTTCTGTGTTTCTAACCCTATGTAGTGCACGCGGAAGCTGCGGTGCGTTGGATACAGAGATTGTACCGAGAGAGGTGTTCTTCCTGTTGGCACGCTGCCCTCAGCGCAGGTAATTATCTACCCAGAAATAGATGTATCCCTGTCCCCTGCATGGGAATCTCGGCGTCTATAGTAATGAGCAAGAACCCCGAGTTCTCTGTGGATGCCCGCTGCAAAAATAACATGATGGAAAACAACAGCGCGTGCTCTGTTTATGGCAGCCAATAAGCGATGAGCCTCACAAAAAATCAGCGGGTCTCAAGTGCGGGCGCCATCTGCAGTCTTTCAGAACCGGTTTCGCGATCCAAAGATGTGTTCTTGCAGGTTGATACCATTGCTATTGCAGGGAGACGCAAGGAGCGCGAAAGAGTCTGCTACGACGGGGGTAGGCTGGTGAAACGAGGTGCTGTTTAAAGTAATACTGGGACGCGAAACTACTTGACGCGCCCTGTGGACCTTAAGCATCCTTTTTTTCTTCGCCGTTTTGTCTTTCTTGGGGCCATTCAAAAACCGCTCTGCTTTCTCATGTCTGTGCGTGTATGTTCGTCTCGTTTTGTGTATGCTGACGGTATCTGCAGCCGGGGCACGCTGGACAGTCACGTAGCGTCTACTACATTTTGTAGTTCGGATCTGAACAGACACCAGATCGTTGTTGTATATGTGAAGACAACGACAACAACAGCAACAGCAGCGTCGTTTCATACCCATCTTTCCTTGCGTTTTTCACGTCAATTCCCCTGGGTTTTCCGCGACAAGGGTCGTGCCTGGGCCACGAATTTCCGCCCGCGTTCCTGTGGTTTCCAGCGCAACCTTGTCCACCTGGTGAGAATTGGTCTGAACAGAAGCGCTTCTGTTGCGACACAAAGTCTGTGTAGGCAACATCAATGACGTCGAGCGAGGCTGTCGCATCATTACTTGCTGTTCAAGTTGGCTGGATTGGTTGAACTGTCTTGCGAGCAATTCACACAACAGCGACTCTTGAGGGGTGAATACACAACCCAGGTGTGCTTCTTCCGGAGGTTCGAGAGCTACGCCCGAATAGATCAGCTGCCGAACAATTCCATTGTTTGAAGGTTCACAGGGTTCGGTGACCGGTGTTGTCGGAACGCACCACGCTAACAGCGTTGCAAAAAGAGCAAAAGTAGCACAACAAAAGTTACCGATAAAAAACCATATGCATCCCAAGCTCATCAGTGCACCTACAGCACTCCCTTGTACTTCTGCAAGCAGCGCCAGCGGCGGCCCCAGCAGCGCCAGCGCCACCACCAGCGGAAGCCGTTAACTTAAACCGCGGAGAAGCAAAGGTTTCACTCGACCCGTAAAACCTTCATACATCAGCTCCTCTGTTGCAGGGCCACCTGATGTCCGGCCGGGTGGCACCAATTGCTGCTGACTTGGCTTCAGCAATAAAACTGCCTCCAGCACATTTGGGAACATTTTCGATACTCAAGCCAAGTCGGCCTTTGTACATCGGGACTACACAGCCTTCCCAATGAGCAGACGCTTTGTTGTTCGGACCAAAAACACGAAGCAACCCGCGGACTCGAGAGGGTGAACGCTTATAGAGCGTCTAGAAGGGTGAACGTCTATAGAGCGTCCGTTCGTAGCATGACATATTACGGGAACTGATCACCGCTTCAGCCAAAACTAGAGGTGCTTGACGGCCGGCGCGTTCTGTATGCAGGCGGGAAGGCGAGACACGAAAAATTACAGGATCTAAAGACCTGACGCACATATTTTCGAAGTGAATCACCAGTTGGTGGGCATACCCATGAAAACACCGCCTACCGCAATTCTTTATTCCCATTGTTGCCTGTGGACGTTGACGACAACTCCAACAGAGCAGTGCCAGCAATAATTTCTAGCACAGGCACAGGAGCGCGGGCAATCTTCATAGCGGCGTTTCACGCAGTATTAGTGACTTCGATCCAAGGAAGCACGCAGCTTGGCACTAGCAGTGTTGCGCGGGGGGCACGTGTCAGTGTTTGTTTGCCAAAATCCTCGGTCTCAACAGGCCGAACCAAGGTGCTCGTGTAGGTCAACCGCTCGCGTAGAGATAAAAGAAGAGAAAGTACGTCGA